TAGAACTCAAGACTTTCTGACTCCCACACTCTATTCATTGTGGTATCTCTCTTATAGAAGGCAGACTCTTGAAGGCAAGGAGTCTTTCATTTTTGCTTTGTGTCCTTGTTTCCTAGAATGATGCCTGGGATGTTGGGAGTGTTTAATGAATGCTTACTGATTGCTTGGCCTTACTTTCCTCATCTATAAAATGAGGGCATTGTCAGAGACTCTGAATAGTGTCCAAAAGAAGAAAAACAAACTATCAATATTGATATTAAAAAACTGCAAATCACTAATGGTAAGAGAAGGTCTCCTCCAAAAAACAGTGGGCTTTTTTGGTCTAGGGCACTGTGGGAAATAAAGTCCTAGGAACCTTTCTCCTAGGTCATTCCCACCACCTATTTTATGAACATTTTATACAATACATTGTTTTATTTTGTGGGGACTGCCATTTTTTTTTTATTTTGCCTGGGTAGTCAATTAGTCAAGTCAACAAGCATTTATTAGAGAAAAGTATCCAATGCTAAAATCTTTCTCTCTTCCTTTCTTCTCTCTCATGGAGCTTCTTGAGGGCATATGTAATGCTAGAAACACAATCTCTATCTTAGGCTGGCCTGGAAACAAGTAGAGACTGTTTGACATCCTTGGGCTATCTTAATAATACTGGCCAAGGCTTTTAAAAAATGCCAGTGGTTAAGTAATTAAACTGCTACATCAGCATCAGTTCCTAGAGAGAAGAGAGAGGTAGCTCAGGATTCCAGGTCACCCTTCCAGAATGGTGATTGAACCAAGATGGAGGTTTCACGTCACAACAGTAACATTAACAAAGAGGATAAGAGCTGTGGGAGGTCAGGTCCTACTGATTGAACTGTGAATTGCTCCAACCATTCTGGAGAAAAATTTGGAATTACATCAGAAAAATTATTAAACTGTTCGTGACCTTTGATTCAGTAGTTACATTCTGCGCCCCTCCCCCTCACTACTGTGCGTATAGCTCAAGGAGATCAATAACCGAAAAGATGGCCCCACATACCTATACCAAAATTGTCACAGGAGCTCTTTTTGTAACAGCAAAAAGCTAGAAGTAGAGAGAGTGTCCATTAATGAGGAAGATGTATAGGAACACCTGGAAATACACCTGGAATATACCTGGAATGGGGTCTCCTGGCAACATAGGTTTTTGTGGACTGTATTTTCAGTATGAATCACATTGTGACTTAGCAGCTAAAACCTTAACGCAATCTTGGTAAGCATTAACTGAGGCTTAGCTTCCAGAAATAAGGAGGTGAGGGTCCTGCTATACTCTGGAGACCATGTTTCAAGTATCTTTTTCAGTTTTGGATATGACAGCCAATGAAGACATTGACATGCTGAAGGGGAGAGAGGGTGGGCAATCAGGATGGTGGAAGGGTTTGAGTCCATGGCCTATGAGGAGTTGTTAAAGGAACTAGGCATGTTTATCGGGGAGAAGCGAAGACTTGGTGCAGCATGATAACTCTTTTCAATGGATTGCCCCTTCAAACAGAGGATGGATGCCTGTTTGTCCAGCATGTTGTAGCAGGGATTCCTTTTCAGATATGGGTTGGTCTACATGGCTGTTGTTGTCCTTTCCAACACTAAAATTCCGTGATCTTGTGATTCTGAGAAAAGACAAGAATGGGGAATTCAGAAATACCTGGGAAGACCTTATGTGAATTAATGCAGAGGGAGGTAAAAAGAACCAGGAGAGCAGCACGCAATGATCGCAATGGCATAAATTAAAAGGATACCAAAACGAGTCTATGATTAACTATAATGATGCCTCGTGGCTTCAGAGGAAGACACATAATAATGAAGCATACTCCCCCTCAGTAGAGAGGAGGCAGATACCGAGAATGGACTATTGGCTACCTTGTCAGTCGGTGTTGCTGTAATCTGTGGGTTTTGCTTGATCATTTTTTTCTTGGTTCTAGGGGAGGGTTGCATGGAGTTGGTAAAATTGGGAAGTGGTTGTGGTGCTGAAAGTAAAAAGCATCACCCAATCAACAAAAAAATGAAACAAGGGGGTTGGGATAGAGGATCTTAGGGCGTCTTTTTGACTCTAAGACCAAGATCCTCTAAATCTTCGATATTTTCCATCCTTCCATTTAGAAGAGCACTGTGAAGAGGAGTCAGTTCACATATTGAAAGGACTGCATAAATAAGGGAGGCACACCAGGACGGCCACCAGCCTGTGGGAGAACCATTCTGGTTTCTGTTTTGTTTTTGTTTTTTAATTTTTTTAAAAAGCCAAATGAAAACCAGAGCCTGAAAAGTCAGAAAGGTCAGCATTTCTGAGGATTATAGTGAGAGGTACGCCTCTTGTCCAAAAGGCTGGGCTCTCTGCCCTGCTGTCAGAAAGGCTGACCTATTTGATTCAGCCCTGGAAGTTGTTGAGAAACCTGTTTCCCTGGGCCTGGTCAAGATAATCTCTGGCCTAATGGGGTAGTAATTACCAACGTTGTTTACGGAGGCCTCATATCACCTTGGGCCTCCTAGTTCTGTTTCATCGGAACAAACACAGGTATTTGAGAAGAGGGGGGATCCTGCAAAGATGGACCCCCCTCAAGACAAGGCTAGAACAGGTACCCTGAACCTTCCCTTCCCCATCCACATCAGCCAGATGGGACTGGTTCTTGGGAACCAGAAGAGGCCATTTGGCTCAACTTCACGTAGTTGATATTCAGTCTTTTCAGTCGTGTCCAACTCTCTGTGACCTCATTTGGGATTTAATTGGCAGAGATACTGGAGTGGTTTGCCATTTCCTTCTCCAGCTCATTTTACAGATGAGGAAACTGAGGCAAACAGGGTGAAGTGACTTTCCTAGTGTCTGAGGCTGGATTTGAACTCAGGAAGATTAGTCTTCCTGACTCCAGGCCCAGTACTCTGTCCACTTCACCTCCTAGATGCTTTATAGTTCTCTTCAAAATAAACTCTATTTAATCAAATTCACACCATTTTGTTTCTGGCGGCAGCCACCAAGACCGCTTTCCCCCACTAGATAATCTCTCTGCCCCAGACAATGCCTCAATCAATAAGTAACCATGCATTTATGAAGCATGTACTTGGTGCCAGGCACTGGAGACTTGAAGACAAAAATGAAAATAGCTCTTTTCCTCAAAAAAGCTTATATTCTGTTGGGGCAGGTAACACGTATAGAAATTAGTATATGCAAAATAAAAACCAGGAATTTTTTTTGGGAGGAGGAGCAGCAGGTAGGATTAAGAAAAGTTTAATGTAAGGGGGGCCTCTCAAACTTGAGGACTTGAGGACATAAGGGATTCTAAGGGGCAGAGGTAAGGAGGGCCTGAATTCTAGGCATGGGGCTACTGAGGCACTGAGACAGGAGAGGGAATATCATCTGCAAAAACAGGAATTACTCAGGTCCAGTTTGGGGGGACCATAGAGTGTGGAGAGGGGAGGAAGGTATAGAAGGGCTGGAAAGCTGGGTTGAGGACAATGTCAGATAGAGTTTATACTTTATCCTTGACATACTAGGAAACCAGTGAAGTTGACTGAGTAGACAGAAATTTATTAAAAAGTTAAGCTCTGCAGAACTTGGAGATCATTGCACACAGCAACAGCAATATTGTAACAATAATCAGCTGTGAAAGACTTGGCTATTCTGATCAATGCAATGATCCATGACAGTTCCAAAGGACTCATGATGAAAAAATGCTATCCACCTCCAGAGAAAGAACCAGTGAACTTTGAATGCAGATGGAAGCAGATTTTTTTTTCACTTTGTTTTTCTTGCTTTCCCCCTTGCAACATGGCTAAGATAGACGGGTAATATTTATCATGGGTATCTTATTTCTTGCCTTCTCAGTGGGTGTGGGAGGGGCCAGAAGGAGGACTTGGAGACAGGGGCTAGAGAATTCCGAGGAAAATCAAAATTAAAAAAATTTAACAGAAAAAGAAAAGTTAAGTTCTGCCCAAAGCAGAGTAGAATGGAAATTCTTCCAGTATAGTATCTGGGCTGTTTTGTTTTGTTTTTTCTTTGTATTCTTGGCACATAGTAAGTACTTAATATATGCTGAGCAGAATAGGGTAGGTTAGGTAGGATAGGTTAGGGGTGGGAAACACCTGGAAGGCTCTATGTGGCCTTGAGGCCACAGGTTCCCCACCCCGGTAATAGGTTAAGATAGTCTAGCATAAAATGGAACAGATGGGACCCCTAGGGGCTCCCATTAAACATAGCCCTGGCCGTCAAAGTCTTTGAAAGGAAAAAAAAAGTTGCTTCATTTCTGGTGAAAATGCCACCCTGCTTCAGGTTGGGCCAGTTCTATATTTTTTTGTGGCTAGTGTTGTGGTACCTGAAAGAAAAATTCTGAGACATAGTCAAGAGTCAACAGATTTTTAAAACTTGAAATGTGAGAGAGATGCAGAAAGGGGGAAAGGGAGGATAGAGGAAGAGGGAGGGAGAGAGAGACAGAGAGAGAGATGGGGGAGGAGGGGGAGAGAGATCTCACTACCAACTCAATTAGATCTACTCTTAAGATTTCCTTTATATAGTAAAGCAACAAAAATCAAAGGAAATGCTTTTTCTTTTCTGATTGGCTACACCAACAAGGTACAGGAATACATGGGAGTATAGGGGAAAAAAAGCTCATTGTTAAGAAATCCTTGCTTTAAAAAAGATATGTATGATCTACGATAGACACAATTAACCGGTTTAACCAGATCTGTAGAAACAGGCTGGAGGTGATAGATAGATGGTACAGTTACATGTAACTACAGCAAAGAAATGTCTACGGGAAAAGAATAAAAGATACAGGTTGTTTCTTCACATATACATTGTTCTATCTTGTGCCCACTCAGCAAACCACAGCCATGCAGTAATCACTTAAAGCCAAAATGAAATTCTTTTGATTCATAGTTAAACTCCATTTAAGTGACCTCAGAAGAAAGGGAATTCAGTTTATTCGAATTAAGCTTTTATTGAATACCTGTTATGTGCTGTGTCCTGGGTTGCACAGACAAAATGAAACAATTCCTGCTTCAAGAAACTTATACTTTATTGGGAGGAAACACATATCAGAAAATAGAAAATCTATACAAAGTAATTCCAAGGGGCAGGTGGGGGGAGGTGTTGCCCAGGGCAGATTTCTGTTAGTAGGAGAGAGCTTCCAGAGGGCTGAATTCTAGTCCCTGTTCTGGCTGTGGGACCTTGAAGAGTTGAGTAGGGATGTCAGTGGGGTTGGCATGGGTGGGAATGAGATCACAGGGTATGGTTACGGAGTTTTAGACTAGGCAGCCTGTAAAACAGGCAGAGAAAAGGATCTCCCTTCACAACATACCTCGACTTTTCATAGAGTTTTGCCCATTTGAATTGAAATAATTAGCAATGAGACCCAAGAAGCTCAATTCTTGCTGTTGAAAAGACTCAGGTCTGCAAAGATATCTCCCCCTCCCCCCAAAAAAAACTTCAAAAAAAAATTCCTGAAGTCAGCCAGGGGCCCAGGAAAATAAGAATGAGAAGTCAGTAGCATTGGAGCTCAGGCCAGGTGTGGTCCACACCTGTTGTTGGTGTCCTAGCAACAACCTCTTGGAAAAAACCCAGAGGGCTGCGACTGACTAGAGCAGCCTCAGAAAGGCTTTGTATTCAGCAGAAAGGTGCGGGAAAGACACATTTAAAAGGTACCAATCAACTTGCTGGGACAGACTGAGTCCTCGTAGGTGTTTCTTCTCAGGCCTAGACCAATAAGGTAAGAGGAGTTGGGCTGGCTTCAGCCAATCACACAGCTCATGGACTGGGAATTTAAATGGAACTGGCCTGGAGAGGGAAAGCTCTTAGCTTCAAGGCTTGGGTCCGTGGGGTCTCCGCTTGTGACCTGCCAGGTGAGCATGGACTTCCTTCCCCCCTCTTCAAGTCAGTGTTTGATGACTGGCCCGGCTTTGATTTCTCCGGGAGTTCCTCCCCCCTCACCTCTTTGTTTTTGTTCATTATTGAGGAAACTGTCTCTCTCTTGGTCTTCTTTTGATGTCGGCTGGTGGACCTTTTGAAGCCTTGGAAGAACGAGGGGATTTCCTTTGGAAATGACTCGGTTCCCTGAGGATCTGGTCACCATTGTTTGTGGCTGAAGCAATGAGTCTTGCTACTCATCCCCCTGGCTCCTCTGAGAAGCCCCCTGCCAAGCCATCCGATCCTCATTCTAGTAGGGGCAGCCTTCTTCCATACCTACCTCCCCATCCCTTCCCCTGCCATCTCCCCCTCCTGCGACACATCCTTTCCGTCTCCCCCAGGGACCAGTTGTGTTGTCATCTTTCCTGATTGTAGTTTCTTCTTACGTGCTTCCTGGCTTCCCCCAGGGAACAGGAACCTTCTCAGCAATTTGTCTCTTTGTGCAATGGTCACTCTAGGGATACATCCTGCATGGCAACGGGTATCAGAAGTGAGTCACAAGTGGGAGAGCCTCGACACGGTCAGTATCTCCCTGTGCTCCAACCCTAGCTGATCCTCCTCATCCTCCAGGTGAGTTAGCACCCAGAATCTGCTCTATCTTTCTGTTCTCTCTCTCTCTCTCTCTCTCTCTCTCTCTCTCTCTCTCTGTCTCTCTGTCTCTCTCTCTCTCTGTGTTGGAAGTGGGGTGGGAAGCTTTCCCTCTTTTCTGTATTTTCTGTAGAGCCTGTACTAGGTTAGATACACAGGGAGTTCCCTTCAGTTGGGTCTTTTGTCTTTCAGAAGGTAACCAAGGTAAAGTGAGCATTTTTTAGCCTGAATACTAGCTTATTGTGGTGAAAGATCCATGGGAAAGGATACATTCCCTGTTTGCTCTCCCTTATCACGGAGATAGCAAAAAAGCATTAGAATTTGCTTGGGAGGAAAGAGCCATAGCTAGGGCTGGCTGCCTCCTCTGAGAGGCTCTCTTGTAGAGCATTGATATCGTGGGGCACTGGAAAGTGTCATGCATCTTTCCCACATCAGGAGACCTCTGGATTCCAGTCTCAGCTTTGCTGCTAGCTAGCTGAGTGACCTTGAGCAAAGTGCTCTCCTTCTGGGCTTTGGTTTCCTTCTCTGCAAATTGATAGGGCCAGACTACATCTCTATGGTCTCTTCCAGCTCTTAAAAAAATCTACGCTAGAAAAAAAAAAAGAAAAAGATTTTAAAAAAGAAAAAAAAACCCACACCAGAATTAAAAAAAAAATACAAGAGAACCCAATAAGGAGTGTAAACTCCTTGCCTTTACATCTCCAATGCCTGGCCCATAGTGAGGGGCATAAGACATGTTTGTTGAATTGAAGCCACCAGACTTTTGTGTAGCTTGCATAAGCCTGGTGATGACTTTGGAGGTCCATTGGTGCTTCTCAGACTACTCCCTGAAAATCCCTGAGGGGGGATGAGGGAGAACAGCCGCCTAATGGGGAGCAGGGGGAAAAGGTATAAAGATGGGGCTTCTATTTTTAGCTCTTCTTCTGCTTTGTATATGGCCATAGAAAAGCTACTTCTTTAAGTCAGGATTTCCACCTGGGCAGAACTGATTGAATGGAATGGAGCCTGTTCCAACTAGACCTCTTGGCATTTACATTTTGCCTGTTGATCTCTCCTATGGTAACTTTTAAAAGAGATCATTGTTTCTTACCAGACTTGGTACACTAATAATTTTTTTTAAAAGACTAGAACAATGATTTCAGTACAGACTTTCTTACTAGGAAAACTCCCCATCCCAAAGCAAATAGGTGGCTGCTTTGGCATGTCCAGTTTTAGAGTTTCTGGGGCATTGAGAGGTTAAGTGACTTGTCCTGGGTCACGAGGGCAAGAATTCTTCAGGCGAAGAACTGGAATAGAATATATTGATATATCTGCTGGCCAGCCTATTGTCTTTATTTTAATGAGCACTTATTTGGTACACAAGCTGGGTGCTGCGGATACCAAGTCAAAAACAAAACATTTCTGGTCCTCAAGGAGTAATTCTACTGGGGAGAAACACAATGCACACAGCTAAGTAAATACCAAGTAATTGCAGGGAGGAATGATAACGACTGGGGTGGATTAGGTAAGGTGTAGGAGGTAGCCAAGGAGGTAGGGATCTCAAGAGGCAGGGGTAAGGAGGGAGAATACCGCAGACTCAGAGAGGATTAGTTTGTTCAAAGGCACAGAGATGGGCAAAGCAATCCCATCTATGGGGAACAGCAACAAAATGGCAGCTGAGATAGTTTTGTAACTTCTGTCTCAAAGCCCGCTGGCATGAATCTCTTTCCTTATTGGTAGAAATGAAGGCCCTGCCCTATGGGAGGGGCCAGAGAGCTTTTAAGGGTCTTTACCTTTTATAATTGTCCTTATGATCAAAGATTTAAAGTTGGAAGGGACCGTAGGTAACTTCTAGTAGAGGCTTTTTATTTTACAGATGAGGAAACTGAGGCCCAGTGTGACTCAAAATAACACAGGTTTTAAGTTGTTGAGTCAAGATTTTAACCTAAGTCTGCTGACTTCAAATTCAACCCTCTTTCTATTGTGTAACACTGTCTTTCTAATATTGACCCTGTCCCAGGATTTGCAAGGATGGTAGAGCCTTTTGGGTTAGGCAGGAGATAGATCACTTCCTGCTCTCCCAGGCTGCTTTTCTATCCTTTTATTCCCTCCTCTTGATATCAACCAGTCAATTTACAGGCATTAGGTGACTGTTATATGCTGAAGATACACAGACAAGAATGAAACCAAGACAGAAATGAAAAGGAACTTTTCTTTAGGAATTTACAGTCTACAGGGAGAGGCAAGACGTATAATATGTTTAGTTTATACATGTTAGTGCATACACAATAAATATAAGGTGCATGGGGGAGCTCTTCACCTGGTTTGTGTCTTGGATTCCTTTGGCAGTCTGGTGAAATCCATGAACCCCTTCTCAGAATCATGTTGTTGGAATGCCTAAAATAAAACACCAAAGATTATGAAGGAAAACAAATATTAATATTAATATTAACAAATATTAATAAATAGATATATTTTTTTGGTCCATCCCAGGTCATGGATACTGCTTTATAATATGGGGTTGGTGATCTGGAAAAGTGTCAGATGAGATGTATGGTTTGAGCTGAGCTTTGAAGGCTAGTATGGATTCTAAGAGGCTTAGATTAGGAGTATATAAGGGACGTTGTTGTTTCATATCCAATTCTTTGTGATTCCATTGGGGGTTTTCTTAGCAAAGATACTGGAGTAGTTTGTCATTTCCTTCTCTGGCTCATTTTATAGGTGAGGAAACTGAGGCAAACAGGGTGAAGTGACTTGCTCAGGGTCACACAGCTAGTAAGTATCTGATGCCAGATTTGAACTCACAAAGGTGAGTCATTAAGCCCTTGTGCTTGGGGCTTGAAGGCACCATACCAAATCGACAAGGAATGATAAAAGGTTATCTGTTTTGATAAAAAGGGATTGCCGAATTCTTGAGGGAGGTTCACCTTGTCTTCACGGGGTTTGTAATCCAGGGCGTTGGTTGAACTTGATTACTCTTGGGGTTTAGGAACAAGGAGGGACTTGCAGTGAGCCAGAGTACTAGCAGGGTAGCTCTTTACCTCCTCCTCACTGCCAGAATTGAGAAGGATGCCCTATGGTGGTGATAGAGGTGTGGGATTATCTCTGGGTGAAGCAAGGCCCAGTGAAACTTAGTGATTTGTTATAGCACCTTCAGCCCCCAGGACTGGGAACGGAGATGATAGCAGGACGGGAGTGTAGGACACCAGAAATAATAAGCTAATTGAGATAAGTAAGATCTGAAATGAGATCTCAGAGGTCTGGGGATAAAGGGAGAGAGAAGGGACAGCCACACAAATAATCATCCAAAGTTAAATTAATGTTCCATAATCTGAAACATCTTTACAAGGTAATCAAATTATGTCCTCCAGGCTCTGTTATTTAAACACAACTTGACAAATATTTTTTACATTCGAGGCTCTGTCCTAGGTGCTAGGGATACAAAATCCAAAGTGAAAAGTTGGTCCCTGCCCTCAAGGAGCTTATAGTCAGTCTGAGGAATACAGCTGAGACCCAGGTAAATAAAGGCAAAGTAATTTCAGAGGGAAGAAGTTATGTCTGTGTTTGTGTCCAGGGAGTAGGGATGGATCAGGAAACACCCACGTAGATGTCTCAGGAGCTGAGCCTTGAAGGAAACTAGGAATTCCGAGAGGTGAGGAGTGGGAGGGAGCTCATTCCAGGCCCGAGGGACAGCCTAGATCTAGGCTTGAGGTGGGAGGAGGAATGCAGGATTGAAGTTAACAGCAGCCAGGCTAGTTTGATTGGAATGCGGCAATCACTAAGGACCACGTAACACACCGGGGACCAGACTGGGAAGGGTTTTCCAAGCCACTCGAACAAGCTTGCACTTTTTCCTTGTGGAAGGAGGGAGCCACTGAAGATTCTTGAGGTGACACGAGCACACCTGTGTTTTTGATTTGGCAGCTCTGTGGAGGCCAGAAAAAGAGAGGTCAATTAGGACGACACAGCTATCGTCAGGGTGAGAAGTGGTGATGAAATAAGCCAGGGTCAGATAAGGGGACAGATAAGAGATGTTGTGGACCTAGAGGCTAGAAAACTAGACAACTGATGGGATGTAGGGGAGAGGCAAGACCTGAGCGTGATTCTGAGGTTTTGAACCTGGATGCCTGGAAGGATGGAGCGCTAATAATTTAAAAAAATGTATTTCCTTGGGAGCTCTATAACAAAAACATTTCCTTAAAAATGTATGATATACAGGCACAATCACGATGTCTTCTAATGGAACATTTCTCCTTTTGAACAATTAGAATAGTTTTCCTTGTTTACTCAAACAAAGTGACGGGTTTGGGGGTGGGTGGCAGGAGACTCAAGTTTTAATCTGTTTATAACAAGTTATAGCAATGTCCCTTAATCATAGATTTAGAAGTAGAAGGGACCTCAAAGGTGAGTCAGTCAATGAGCATTTATCAAGTATTTACTGTTTGCCAGACACTGGAGCCAGGGACACACATCAAAAAACAAAACAACAAAAAAGCCCCCCCCCCCCAAAAAGCCCTCTACATTTTCTCCTTTCCAGGCAGTTGCCTGGATAACCTTGGCTAAGTCATTTCCTTTCTCTGGCCTTTAGTTTCTTCTTCTGCCCAGTGGTTGGACTTGATGGGAATCAAGGCCTCTCCCCGGTACTCAAGTCTATATTAAGCAAGAAAACATAACTGTATTTTCAGCGTTTCTGTCCAAGACCCTTCTAATGTCTCATCCCTCTAGAATTCCTTTCTTTGGTTTCTCTTTTTGGTTGTTTCTAGTATTTGATACCTGCTCTTGAAGATCTCAGAGGCTGGTGTTAAAGTTATTGTTCACGTATAGTGTGTAAGGGGGTAGTGTGGGGGTGGGGCATTCTTATTTTCATTCTTACAGTTTTGGAAACTGAGACCCAGAGCAGGGAAGAGTCTAAATGACCGGGATTACAAGGGAGATGGATGGTGGCAATTTTTTTTTTTTAATTTTTAGAAATATTTTTGGAGGCAGTCAGGGGTTAAGTGACTTGCCCAGGGTCACACAGCTAGTAAATGTCTGAAGGATGGTGACAATTCAAAGCTCTATCGGTAATGTCACCAGTTAATAGCCAACATTATATAGTGCTTTAAGATTTGCAAGATTCAAAAAGTATCCAGAGTCACACTGGGTTATTATGCCTGTTAGGAGACTCACTACACAGGGTCTTTTTTTTTTGGAGGCTGTGCTGGTAAATGTTTAACAACTAGTTCTACAAAAATCTCAGGACATACTTTTACATTATTAACATTTTCTCTGTCACGTCACTTTCTTATGTCTAGATAATCAACAAATAATAAATCAGGCCCTGGTTTGTAGGGTCCTGATTTCCAATGCTCACATTAAAAATTTAACAATCAGCTCCTTTCTCTCTCTCTACCTGGCAGGATCTATACTTATTTCAGCAAAAGACCTGCAGGTGTGTTTTTAAGAGAGAAGTGGAGCATGAAGGGACAAGAAAACCCAGCTGAGCTCCTGTCCTCCCCCCTCCACCGCCCCATGCACTTATACGTATTCTAATCTGTATTAGGGCCATTAGTCATATCTTCCCTGCTGGGTTATCTATCTTTTTAAGACCCTACCACCTCTCATCTTCGGTCCCCATGCCTAGTTCAGAGCCTCACAAGGGCTCCTGCAGTGATGCCAAGGATGCACTTTGATAAGGATGGGGGGGCATCCTACTGTATGCAGCCTGGTACAGTGCAAAGCACCCTGGCTCTGCAGTCGGAGCTTGGGTTTGAATCCGGTCTGTGATGGTTCACCTGTAAAAGAAGGGGTTGGACTCGATGAACCCTGATAGCCCTTGAAGCTCTAGCTCTAGGATCCTTTGGTTATCCTCACGCCTAGCAAAGATCCTAGCACATAAGTGGCGTTTAATAAATGCTTGTAGATGGAGTGAGTTCACCTTGAACCTTTCTCTCCCCTGGAGGATGTCCCAGTAGGTGGAGGGTGCAATTCCTCCGCTTGGCCACCAGATGGAGGACTTCGCGCTTTCTCGGTTCTCCGGGCGGGTGGGGGCGCTCTGTCTCCAGTCACCGTGCGCGTCCGTCAGCGTCGCCTCCCGAGCATGCGCGGCGCTGGCAGTTCTGGGCCTGAGCGATAAGTGAAGGCTCGGTGGGTCCATGGAGCCACTTCCGGGCTGGGAGCAGGCGCGGGCGGCGGCGGCGGCGGGGGGCGGGGCCAGAGGGGAAGAGGGAGGGGGCGGAGCAGCCTCGACTCCAATCTCAGCCGAGGCGGTCCGGCTCCTGGTCCGGCTCGGGCCTCGGCAGGAGGGGAGAGCGAGGCCGCTGCTGGGTGAGGAGAGGGGAGGGGAGAGGGAGAGAGGGGGGCTGAGGCGAGCTTGCCCTGACGGGTCATCTCGGGGTTCCTCTGGGAGATCGAAGTCCCAGCTCTTAAGGGTTAGGGGAATCGTTTTGAAGGGTTGGGGTCCCTCTGGTTTGGGGGTCCCTCCAGAAGGTCTCTGGTACCAGCTCCCAGGGGTTGGGGTTGTCTCTGGTTTGGGGGTCCCTCCGAGAGGTCGGAGGTCCCAGGTTTCAAGGGGTTGGGGTTGTCTCTGGCTTGGGGGTCCTTCCGGGAGGTCGGAGGTCCCAGGTCTCAGGGGTTGGGATTGGAGTTGTCTCTGGTTTGGGGGTCCCTCTGGGAGGTCGGAGGTCCTAGATCTCAAGGATTGAGGGAGTCGCACTGAGGGGTCAGGGTTCTTCTGGTTTGGAGGGAGGGATCCTGGAGGTCGGAGGTCCCTTTTAGGGGTCTGGGTCCCTCTGGTTTGGGGATCCCTCCGGGAGGTGGTGGGTCCCATCTTTTAGAGTTTGAGGAATTTCTCTGAGGAGTCAGGGGTCCCTCTGGTTTGGGGATCCATCTGGGAGGTCAGGGATTCTTCAGGTTTGGGGGTTCTTTGGAGGAGTCGGAGGTCCCCTCTGAGGGCTTAAGGGTTCTTGGGTCGGGAATCCCCCCAAGGGTCGCTCCTTTGGATGGGGTCCTTCTGAATGGTTACGGGGGACCCGACTCCGAGGGGGATTGGACGCACCTGGTTGAGAGTGGGCTCAAGGTTCTGAGGAGTGTCCCTCCAAGGACTCTCTGGGGGATCTGGGGGTCTCTGAGGGATCAATCTCATCCTCGAAGGGTCGGGAGGAGTATCCTGGGTGAGGTTCCTCTGAGGGCACTGGGCGGGGTGCAATGGGATCCTGATCCAAGCCGCAGCAGGGACCCCGGTCTACCGGGTATGGGGGTGTTCAGAGATGGATCAGATCCGCGTTGGGATTGGGGCACCGTAAAGGTTGGTGTTCAGTGGGAGAAAGTCTAATTGAGGGTGACACCCCCTCCCCCTTCCCCGTGCCTTGTTGAGCTGTAGGTTAGGGAGGAAACTGATCCCTGAAATTGACCAGGGACTGGCCCTGGGGAGTCTAGTTTGGGAGGGATCTTCTGGGTGGAACCTAAGGGAGCCCGCTCCTGATTCGCTCAACCAGAGGCTGGGGGCGGGGCCCGATGCCGAGTCCCTAGGAGTGAAACCTGAGCTTTCAAAGGAGGAAGCGAAATCTTTTTTGAGTGCTCCGGCTGAGACTGATGGTGTTCATCATCAGCCTTGCAATTAAACTACTTGGTTCCTTTTTTTTTCTCTACAGCAAGAAGGCACTTGACGGAAGAGCAAGAGGAGGAGGAAGATGTTTGACTGGGACCTCCTAAAGATGGTGAGTCTTTTCCAGACGCGGTTTTTTCGTGACTGAAACGGAAATTTGCAAATTTGCAAAAACAAATTTGCAGCATGAATCAGGATACTTGGGTGTGTAGTTGCCTCTTCTTGTGGCTTTTTCAGGGGCAGGAGAGCATTTAGACCTCCTTTCCTTATGGCTTAAGTTACATCTAGACAATAGAGAGTTGTAGGGGGAGAGGCAGAGAGACAGAACCAGAGAAGGAGAAGGTTTTGGCTTCACATTTGTTACTTCCCTTTCCCTCTCTGTTCCTGGCTTAGGTGTAGGGAAATTTTAGCTTCCTTGCTGGTTTGGGTTTTGTTCAATAGTTTTCTTCTTTATTTTAACCAATGTTTTTATTTCCTGATTTCTTTTTTATTTCACTAGCTTCATAGAACTGGTTGTCATCATTGGGAAATGGGCAGGATCTAGTCCTGAGATTTTCCTTCTGTGAATGATTATTTCCCCCAGTAGCAAAACAAATAGATAGATGAAGGCAAAGTGCTAATCAGATCTGGATTGTAGTTGGGGAATGTGGGAGACTTTAGTAACACTGTGATTCGATTAGGCTTGGCCTCTTACACAGACTCCATTTAAGACTTTGGGCACCAATAATGATTGTAGTGAAATTTTGGGTATTTTCAGTATGTCTTATTAGTAGTCAGAACTTACTGAATACTTACTTACTGAAATACACATGTGTATATGTTTATGTATACACTCATACATATAAACGCACATGTATATATGTACACACATTTATCAATATGCATATGTAGCTATATACACATATGTATGCCCATATTTACATATACATATGAATACACACAGATATGTAGACATATATATGTATTTACTGTGGCCTTGGGGATGTCTTTGTTTTATTATTTTTTTTAAAGAGTCTAAATTGTAGAAACTTCTTTTTTCCTCTTCTGTGACTAGATTCCTAGAAAAGATCTGATTTAACAGTTTCTCCCCACTTGATTTTCATGCCTCCTCCCCACCTCTCCTCAAAGTAAGTTCCTGTGTATAAGATTCAGCTGAGTGCCATGTATGTGAATGGACATATTACTTCATGGATTCTTAGGTCCTGTTTCATAAACTAATCAGTATTAATTACTTTCAGAATACTGACTCTTTAGAAGGACTGTCAGCCAAAGTTGATTTGGAAGTGGTAGGTGATTGCTCTCTATTTCTCCAGCATTGCATAATGTTGTCTGTGTTTTGGGAGTGGAAATGTTTCACCAGTTGGCCTGGTGTGGATTCACATAGGTGTATCTAAAAGATAGCACAATTACTACATGAGGCGATGTTGTGGGAAAGAATCAGCTGGCCTTTTCTTGAATTCTTAGGCAAGGTGGGATGGTAGAGAATCTATTGCCAGTGCCAAGTTGGCACAGTTGTTAGAACCTATGCTTGGTTCACTTTCAGAGTGTGATTACTTGCTCTGTGTGTGTGTGTGTGTGTGTGTGTGTGTGTGTGTGGTTAGGTGAGCAGCAAAGAGGTATAACATATGATTCTTACCTCCCAGGAGCGTATGGCCTAGTGTATATAAGTTTGTGGAAAAAATAGTTAGACTAAGTACTGTAGGCAGTCAGGCCTAAGTACTGTAGACACTTCATGGAGGTGAAAGCCCATGTGGGCCTTGAAAACATGGCCTTTGTTCTCCAATAACTTAGAATCTTAAGTGGGTGAGAAGCGCAGATAAAATACTCTGAGCTCACGGGAGGAGGTGAAGTCTCACTCTTCTTGGGAGGGGGAGAGGCTTCATGAAGCCTGGGGTACCTGAGGGGACCTTTAAAGGGTGAAGATTTTGGAGGGCAGTGATGGGCTGGTTGTGGTAGACCTGTGCTGAGGGCTAGGCCCAGGGTTTAGGGGTGGCATGTGGCAAGGGTCTAGTTTGACTGTGACGTAACATTAGCCTAGAAAAGTGGTTTGGAGCCCAATTGTGAAGGTCCTTGAATGCTGGGCTAATGATATTCTACTTTATATGGGAGGCAACCAGGAGCCATATCAAGATTTTTGGGCAGGATGGTAAGATCTGAGCAGAAGGAGTTACTGGCTCTGGAGTCTGGCCACCTTGTCTCTGATGCCATCTGCGTGACCTGGGACAGCCCCTTCCCCTTCTCCAAGGTGGCAGCTTCTCATCTATAAAATGAGCGCTATGTAGACATCATTAGGATTTCATTAAGTGACATCTGGTAAGGGTCAGAGGCAGGGCTGAAACTAGGTCTTACTGACTTCAAGCGTGCCCATTAGGCCAAGCTGTCTCTGATCAGTGCTGACCATTAGGAGGAGGTAGGAGAGCCCTGTCTGGACGATGGTTTGAGTTGGGGGAGATTCTAGGTGAGGGGAGGAGTTAAGAAGATTACAGTAACTTGAGATACATATTTTTGGAAGTGGTCGATGTGGAAATTTGTTTTGCTTGAATATGTATGATTGTTATAGGGGTTTTGTTTATCCTTTTTTTCCCCCCAATGGCAAGGGGGGAAATGAGAGAGAGAGAAAAGAAAATGCTTGTTAATGGAAAAGAAATGTACTTGAAAATAAGATATTGCAATAGTCCGCAACTGTTGTCTGCATCACTTGTAACATGTGGCTTTATTATTGTAGCTGTCTTTTCCACATACACCTGTGTCTTATCTTTCCCACTAGACCATAAGCTCCTGTAGGGCCAGAAGCATGTCTTAGGCTTCTTCGTAACTCCCAGTGCATGTAGCACAGGACTCTTGATGATGTGAAAGATGACTAGAAGGGTGCAGGTAGTGGAGTGATGAGGCCAGAAGTGGCGGAAGTGGAACCAGCCCTTGGAGTCTATGAATCCTCAGTGACTGTTGCTCGGTTGTCCTGGCTTTCACTCAGAGGAGGGTAGGTGATTGGTCTTCTAGCATCCTCACTGCAGGCTGGCAACCACTTTCTTCACTCCCTCGTGTGCTGACGCTGAGGACCAGGAGTATGGTACCATACACTGGTGGTTGGCAAGCACTTTGAGCTTTTAAAGAGAAAGGGGCTTCATTACTATGGTCATTCATGGGGATTTCTCTCTTCCCAACTAGAGACCAGATGGGGTGGTTAGCTGAATTGGGATCAACAGATTGGGATCTAAGAGGAAAGGCTGCCCCAAGCTAGGGTGGTGGTACTCCAAGTAGGGTCCTTGAGGTCAGAACTGTCTTTAAAATAATGCTAAAGAGGTTATTTGCCTATTTAAATACTCCTCCATTTTCCAACTGTTTATTTTTGTGAGGCCGGATTTTCTTTAACTAAAACACTTATATAGTGCTGCTGGGTGGCTTAGAGTGCCAGGCCTAGAGTCAGAAAGATCTGAGTTCAAATCCAGCCTCAGACACTTACTAGCTGTGTGACTGTGGGCAAGACAACTTAACCACTGTCTGCCTCAGCATCCTCGTTTGTAAAATGAGTTGTAGAAGGAAAAGACAAACCACTCCAATATCTTTGCCAAGAAAACCTCCAATAGGGTCATGACGGAAAAGACTGAACAACAAAATATAGTGCTTCATAAATATTATCTCATTTTATCCTCACAACAACCCTGTGAGGTAGGTGCTGTTATTATCCCATTTTACAGATGAGGAAACTATGGCAGATAACAAGTTAAGTGACTTGCCCAGGGTCACACATCTAGTAAATGTCTGAGACCAGATTTTGAATTCAGATTTCCCTGACTTCAGATTGAATTCAAAAGCAGATATGAGAATCCAGCTGTCTTTTGTTAAACCGGATATTAAAGAGATTTGCAAAAATGTAAAACAATGCCGTTGTTCTCCTCAAATTTTTTTTTATTTAGGAAAATATAGCTATTTTTCATTAAAAATATTTTCTGTCAATGTGTAATGGGTTAAAAATTTATGAGTTTTATATTAGAAATGAATTTCTAATTAATTAATTCTAATTAATTAGAAATTAATTTCTGATACAGAACTGTTGATATAACTGGGATTGTGCTGGAGCAAGTTCTAATCTGATTGAAAACTACAAATCAGGGCTTTATTTGTCCTTTTGCTGCTAGGTGATGATAATAATGGAAATTAAACTCAAAATTGTGTGTGCATACATTCTTTTTTCCCCAGAGAGCCCAGTTGTTAAACCTTTAGCAGCACACCTCTGTATTGCTCTATAAACATGCTTATAAACTATAATCTTGGCTGGAGTGCAGCAAGAGGCTCAGGGAATGAAGTCATCATCAGCCCGGGGCCGTGGGGATCATAGTAAGCTAATGATAACGACGATTGTGATGACAACAATAACTGGTGTTTAGATAGCCCTTTAAGATCTGCAAAGTGCTTTACATTTGCTTTGTTACTCAAGCCTCACGGTACCTGCATATACCCCGCAGAAGCAAAATAAGAAGAGTATGAAGAGGGCCTGAGATTAAAAAGTTTGAGAAGTGCCCGACCTGGACTCAGGATTCCCAACATTTCCTTGGGAAGGTTATTCGTCTGAAGTCTTGGATCCGCAGGCAAGAGTGGTGATGGTGCTTTGATTTGGACATAGGGAGGAGACTAGAGGACTGTAGCGGCCCTCCAGCTGTGGCCTGGGTCTTTTGTTACTGGAAATGATCTCAGATTTCAGAGAAAGTGCTTCTGCCCTTGAATCCCACAGAGCAGACTTGGACTTTTGTGATTGGCTGGTTGGGGCCTTCTGCTAGACAGAACAGTTGTGGGCTGTGGAGGGGAAAAACTGAATTGTTTCCAGAATGGAGATGTATGCAGTTAGCCAGATAGCAGGTGTAAAAACTTGGGTGCCCAGATTTCTGATAATTTCCTGCTGGAACCTCTGTTAAAG